TTCTCTGCTGATTAAACCTAGACTGCATTTTCCAAGGGCAGGTGTTTCTAGATACTGCTCTTTTAAGAGAACAAAATTCAGCGCTACATTTGAATATCAGCTAATCAATATCACTTCAGATTATTGGTATGCTGGCTTTTTTCTTGTCTTATGTGCATTACTGTATGCAGAAATGGGAAACTCTAGGCTTTGTTATTTTTCTTTTGGCTGTTAAGATTTATTGAAAATGCATTTACAAGATCTGTTTCTAATATCTGTTTGGATCTCTTCTTTAAGATCATGAAAAAATCTTCTCTCTTCTTGAGGAGGTACAAGGACCAATGGAAATTCAGAAGTATTTCATTGAATTTGCTATAAAGGAAGGAGCAAGGTTTGTATAGATACAAATGATTCAGAGTTAAATGCTAACATTGTTCATGATAGTAAATCTCAATCTTCTCCAAAACAAGTATTTTGTTTTGACATACTTAAATTATTACAGTTTTAGTGGTCAAACTGCCATTGTATTTTCTGAAGTAAATGGTTGTTACCTAGAGCTGAAATGTGAGATAGAAAGATATGGGTGGTTATGGAAGAAAGACCCAGAATTTGCGTGGGTTGGGAAAAGATGGCTGTATCAAATTAAATTTGCCATTCGGATGTCAGAAATGAGGGAAGCTCTTCCATGCTGGAAACAGAGAGCCTTTGCTAATACTGTTTGTCGTGGCAAAATAATACTGAGTTATTTAACTGCTATTTTTGGAAGAAAAAATGAAATTACTTCCCTTCTCTTCCCTAGGTTTAAAAATCGTGTCTTAATACAACGCTTAGAGAGAACACTAGAGGAACTAGAGTTCAGCAGCCTACCCAACAGAGTTAATCAGGTGAACAGTAGATAATAGTGTACCAGCTGGAGGAATATGGACCAGGAATGAGTTTGCTGTGCCACAGAAGAGTGGAAGAGGATGTAGCTGTTGCCCTCGCCATCCTGGCAGTCAAGTGATTTTACTGTCAGAGTCTGAGAAGAAGCAGCAGAGCTTTAACTTTACGAACCTCTATCGGCAGAAGCTGGGCTGTAACCTTAAGGATGGGCTATGAAAGGTGTGGCTTTTTTCCTGTGGAGAATGCTATTTGCTCAACAGGCTGAAGAAAATAACCATTGCTGCCCCTCCTGCAGGTGGTGAGAATTTACTCATTTGAATACTGTCATTAGCCGTTTTACGTGCTATAGGCAGTGGATCGCACTAAAATGGGGTACTGTCAAATGCACACAGTGTCTGCATTGTGGAGAGATCCCATGTGTTGTTCCACCCCCCAATAAAAAAAAAACAAAAACAAAAACAAAAACTCACAGAAACACCTGCACTGGTAATACTGCATGTTGCCAGCACAGAGACAAGGGTCTTGTTCCCGAGAACTGCTAGCCATTCCTTTAAACTTGAGATTCAGTGTAGATTGAGAGTAAAGAAACTGCTATTGTGTTAATGAAAGCTAAAGACAGCCCTGTGACTGTTACCACTTGGTGGTTACTAAACAATCTACCTCAGACTCTCTTCTGTTTTTGTCTGCAGACATTATGAAAGTGCACCTGAGGCTTCCCAGGTCCCTGACTTCAGTTCTCTTTCATCCCGTGAGGAGGACGGAGATTCTTCAGGTGGCCTTGGCACACGGGCACACGCTGTGCTTTGGAAGCACTAAAAAGAAAAATGCTTTTAAAAGTGTGCATTTTAATGTTCATACAAAAGAGATTATTTTTGAACAGTATTGTTACTGGATCACTAATTTGATATTTTAACTGTATACATTTTTTTGAACATAGGTGTATATATATATAAAATAAACTGTTTTATTAATTCTTATTAAGTGCTGATCTGAGGAGTCTGTAATGGGCAGCGCCGAATTCCTTAAATTGTCTGTTACCAACAGACCGCTAATATTTTTTGTGAAAACAGTCTGCATATCCTGAAACCCCACTTCTGGTAATAGCTGCAGAATGTGTTTGTACTTACCTCCCAGTAGCATGTACCCTGGAGCACCTGCCTCATCAGTCAGCTCAGCCTGTACAGGGTGTACATTTTTGCTCCAAGGCTAAAGTATTAAAGACACCAAGTTCCAGCTTACCAAATCCTTGGTTACCCGAGTTAATATCCTCTCCTCCGTTCCTGTTACACTTTTATTCAAAGGTAATGTTGCGAATCACAGAAAATGCAACGAAGGCTGAAGCACCTGCACGTAATTAATTTTTTCATTTTAAACAGTAATATGCCAGTAGTAAGTGGCTCTTCAGATAATTTTATTTTCAGTTGTTCTCATTTAAAAACATTCTCCTGCTCCTTTAACAGCTTTCTTTTAAAAGACAGGTTGAAGTTGTGCTCGTGTTAACAAGCTCTTCACAAAGTACTGCGACTGTCCTGAGGATTCCACTTGATCAGCCAGCAGAAGAGACAGGGAAACATATTTAAGTTGATGGCCTGAACTTCTCTTCCTATTACTATTTTTAGTACTAGCCAGCCTGTGAGACATCTTTTCCGTCTCTTGTGAAGCAGTGGCCTTGTCTTTCTGGAAGAGGTGGTTTGACCATTGGAATTACACCAGTGAGATTCAAGAAGGAAATAAAATCCAAAAGCAGCATATGTTAAGTGAGAAAGTGACACATGGAAAGAACTCGTTATAAACAATTCTGAACTCTTTTCTTAGCAGTAATGTACTTATCTGTACCGTTGAACATACTTAAAAAAACCCCACAGTAATACCTTGGAATACATACGGCAATTCATCCCTTCAGGATCATTACACGGCAGCTGTATGTCACCACAACACACCTCTCTTGCCTAATGGTGGACTTCTAAGAGGGAATTTACTTAGGTCAGGTGTACTGTGTGTATGTGGTTTTGAAATGCCAGGTTATGCGCGTAGAACTGCCTCTACTACACTATCTTTTAAATAGGTGGTGGTAAGAGGAGACAGCTTTCTTTCTTCTAGTAGGTTCTTACTTAAGTTCTTGTGAGAAGAAAGCCAGACGTCTTTGGAGACTGTGCCAATGAAAAGACGAAGAAAAATGAGTGGAATAAATCTCAGTGCATGTAGTCCTGCATCCCAAATGGAGCACAGAAGGAAGGCTGCTTGCTTAGAAGAGCAGTGGATGCTTCATGCCCGTGTTAAAGAGAATATTAACAGAGAGAATTCTTTGTAAGACAAGCTGCCATGCGTGGTGTGGGTAGCAAATACGTTGGAAAAAATACAGCCATAATGAATGGCACAGTAGGCGAGCTGTAATCCGCCCGACAAGCCCTCTCGTGGGCGCTCTCTGCCGCCACCAGCTGGTGGAAAACGAGTACTGCAGGCGGCCGGGGAGCGCGCATGCACAGTGTCGCCCGCGGGCGCCCTCTGCCGCCACCTTCTGGAGGCAATCCAGTACTGCAGGCAACCGAGCTCCGCGAATGCGCGGTGGCGCCTGCGGGCTCCCTCTGCCGCCACCTGCTGGTGGTAATCGGGTACAGCAGGCGGAAGGTGGCAGCGCATGCGCGGTGGCGCCCGCGGGGGCCCTCTGCCGCCACCTCCTGGTGGAGAACGAGTACTGCAGGCTGCCGGGCTCCGCGCATGCGCGGTGGCGCCCGCGGGCACCCTCTGCCGCCACCTGCTGAACACAATGGGGTACTGCTGGCGGCCGGGCGCCGCGCATGCGCGTTGCTTATTCCGTCTTTTTTTTTTTTGATGTGTAATTTCCTAAACTCCTAGATTTTTCTTCATAAATGAAAGGTTCGTGCTAATTCCCGTTGAAAATATTTCATTAACTTTCTTGGTAGTATTGTCCTTTCTATGTTCAAAGCTGAGGCAAAAATATGGTAAATTTTGCTTCTAGAAACACCGCAGTTCTTTTGTCTGCACTCCGCATGCTGTAAACTAGGGATAGGTGAAAAAATAAATAAATAAATAAAAGAACACAGCTGCTGCTGCTCCTGCTCTTTCTTGTGGTTTGCCCACTCCTCTTTCCCAGGTGATTGGGTTTGGGTGCTGGGCGGGGCCAAATGTTGAGCCCTAGGCATTCTATCAGAGAGCTCCTTCTGCCTGGGCTGCTCTTTGTGGTCGGTGCTTTGTATATTCTTCTGTTAGCTCCATGCAGGGTTCTTTTAGTGGGTCAGAGTCTTGTACGATCTTTTAGAGGAAACCAATCTAGTAGTATGTGCATTTATTGCATGAAGCTCTTTGGAGGTGATTAATTGTTATAGCACATTTATGGATAGGATGTCAAAGTTATTTTGTGTGTTTGCTTTGTTGTTCTAGGTCCCTCATGATTTTTGCAGGGTTACAGGGCAGATGCCACCAGGTCTACCCCTTTTGTTGTTTTTGTTTTGTTTGATTTTTTTTCTTATTTTATTTTTCTTTTTTGGAAGGGGGTTTGGGATTTGAGCGTCCTATTTTTTTGGGTTTGGGATTTGAGCATCTTAATTTTGTGGGTTTGAGATTTGAGCGTCTTAATTTATTGGGTTAGGTGTTTTAGGCATAGGTCTTCAGGGGTTTAGTGTGGTAAATAGTTTAGGTTAGGTCTGTAGGGGTTTCGAGGATTTTTAGGGTTAGGGCTTGAGGCTTTTTTGTGTAAGGGCGGTAAGGGCTAGGGTTACAGTGAGTGCTGGTAAATGTAATTCTCGAACACTCGGCCTGTGATCGGCTGTGCTGGCTGTCCAAGGAGTGCTGGTCGGTGTAGTTTTCCGGCACCAGGACCCTCCCCTGTTTCCCCATTAACTGTGCAATCCAGGTTCATACTCTACCTGGTGCTTCACAGAAAATACACAGCTGCTGGCCTGTTACAAGTCTTCACCTAAACAATTCTACTCTTCTCTATTTTTCATGGTTTTTGATCACCTATTTTCTCCTTCCCTTTTCAGCTTGCACACAGGAGCTTTCCAACTTCTATTCCTCTACTGCAAAGTCTGTAATTGACAACTGCCTTTTCTTCTTGTGCAATTGTCTCTGCAACTCTGAGGTCTTGGTGTGGGTACTACAGCATCAGCCCAAACTCATTCTTTTCAGAATTTATAATCACACAACTTCTGTTTATAACTCCACCAAATAAAACAAACAAGAACAAACAAGCAAGTGAACAAGCAACAACAAAACACCACCAAAATAACTAAGCTTTACCCAATGCCAGTAACTCGTGTCAGGAGGTTGATAGATGCACTTGTATCATCTTGTCGAATCTGCAAAAAAAAACAAAATAACACAAACCAAATCTTCTTTGCTCCATTTGTAGTACAAAAAGGAAGCTTAAGAAGATAAAACAACTTGGCCAGATTCTGCTTTGGAGAGCTACTATAAATCGGAACAAAACAGCACCAACAGTAGAACTGTGCGTTACTACAGTACCATATGTACCATGCCTACAAACTATCTTAACTTCCCATGTGAAGGTGAACAGCATGCTTAAAACTCAGAATTCAACAGCCTTCCAGAGTCATAATTCCACTTCTCAGGGACAACATTCACAAACTATATTCACATTCATAGATAATACTGAAACTTTGGCAGAACTTCTAGCTCCTTAATTTGGACTCGGCACAGCCTCCACGTCAACCATTCAACAGGGCCAAGTGCAAGGTCCTGCACCTGGGTGGGGGCAATCCCAAGCACAAGCACAGGCTGGGTGGAGAATGGATTCAGAGCAGCCGCAAAGAGAAGGACCTGGGAGTGTCAGTTGATGAGAAACTCAAAAAGAGCTGGGAATGTGCATTTGCAGCCCAGAAAGCCACCCATGTCCTGGGCTGCATCAAAAGTAGCATGACCAGCTGGTCAAGGCAGGTGATTCTCCCCCTCTGCTCCTCTCTCCTGAGACCACAGCTGGAGCCCTGCATTCAGCTCTGGGGCTCCCAGCACAGAAAGGACATGGACCTATTAGAGTGAGTCCAGAGGACATCCATGCGGATGACCAGAGGGCTGGAACACCTATCTACAAAGACAGACTGAGGGAGCTGGGGTGGTTCAGCCTGGAGAAGAGAAGGCTCTGGGCACACCTTCTAGTGACCTTCCAATACCTAAAGGGGGCCTACAGGAAAGCTGTGGAGGGACTCCTTGTCAGAGAGTGTAGTGATAGAACAAGGGGTAATGACTTTAAGCTAAAAGATGATAGATTCAGACTAGATGTTAGAAAGAAGTTCTTTACTCAGAGGGTGGTGAGGCACTGGAACAGGCTGCCCAGAGGAGATGTGGATGCCCCATCCCTAGAAGTGCTCAAGGCCAGGTTGGATGGAGCTTTGAGCAACCTGGTTTAGGGGAAGGTGTCCCTGGCCACGGCAAGGGGGTTAGAACTAGATGATGTTTAAGGTTCCTTCCAACCCAAACCGTTCTGTGATTCTAATGCTTGACTCGAGTCTCACCACAGAGAGCATCAAAAATTGCACACAGTAAGCAGGCTACGTTGCAAAGTACAAAGAAAATCAACTACTGAGAAATACAGTACAAGGGAAGAAACACACCTTTTCCAATTTGCGTAGTTTGCCAGTGGATAAAAACTCATCAGTTTTCTCTGCTATTTTAGCACCAACTCCATCCTAAATATTGGGCGAGAAGGAAACACCAGTTAACCTCAAGATCACTTACAGCCAGGAAAAAAAGAAAGCCCCGCAGGAAGAACTATGATGTCACTTAAACCACAACAAAACATTGCTCCATAAGGGAACAAGAGCACGCAGGGTTCCACATAAACAGCATAAACACAGCACTTTGACGACTGCATTACTTACTCTAGACAAGGCTTTGATTTCTGCTGCCCTCCAAGTTGAGCAGGGCAGTAAAGCAACGAAGGGGAAACCTGCCACCACAGAAGCCCTTGGCACGCAGACAGTTGCAGGCCCCAGCTGGCTCTGTGAGGCCCCCGCAGCAGCCACCCCCCCCCCCCGGGAACCTCCCCCCACCGCGACACCCCGGCCCCCCCCCGGGAGGCAAGGCGCGGACCACTACCAGCTTCTTGGCTTCGGCCCCTCTCCGTATCTCGCTGGGGTACAGGGCGATGACGGACGCAGCCTTTGTGTGGAAATGCTCGGCTCAGGGCTCAGCGCCCAGCCCCGGCGGGGCCCTGCAGCCCCACGCAGGGCGGGGGGGGGGGGGGGAGGCGGTATCTGTAGGCGTTGTGCTTGTGGATGGCCCGGTTGACGTTCCGCTCGTAGTTCACAAGCTCTGCGGGGAGAAACGCGGTTGGAGCGGCCGAGGCGCGGCACGGCCCCCCCAGCGCCCACCCACCCGTCAGCAGGTCCGTGATGCCCTGGTTGGGGCTCCCGGACGGGGCCTTCCGCTTGCTCATCGCGGTCGGCGACACCGGCCGGCGGCAACGGGCGGAAACGACGCGACGGGGCTTCCGGCGGTGACGTCTATAAGCGCGACTGCATTCACACGCACGCGCGGCCCGGGGCCTGAGCGGTGCTGGGAGATGTAGTTCTGGGACTCCGGACTTCCGGGAAGCCATGTTGGGTGCCCGGAGCATACCGGGAAATGGAGTTCTGGGACTCTGGACTTCCGGGAAGCCATGTTGGGTGCCCAGAGCATACCGGGAAATGGAGTTCTGGGACTCTGGACTTCCGGGAGGCCATATTGGGTGCCCAGAGCATACCGGGAGATGTAGTTCTAGGACTCTGGACTTCCGGGAAGCCATGTTGGGTGCCCAGAGCATAACGGGAGATGTAGTCCATGGACTCTGGACTTCCGGGAGGCCATGTTGGGTGCCCAGAGCATACCGGGAAATGGAGTCCTTGGACTCTGGACTTCCGGGAGGCCATATTGGGTGCCCAGAGCATACCGGGAGATGTAGTTCTAGGACTCTGGACTTCCGGGAAGCCATGTTGTGTGCCCATAGCATAACGGGAGATGTAGTCCATGGACTCTGGACTTCCGGGAGGCCATGTTGGGTGCCCAGAGCATACCGGGAAATGGAGTCCTTGGACTCTGGACTTCCGGGAGGCCATATTGGGTGCCCAGAGCATACCGGGAGATGTAGTTCTAGGACTCTGGACTTCCGGGAAGCCATGTTGGGTGCCCATAGCATAACGGGAGATGTAGTCCTTGGACTCTGGACTTCCGGGAGGCCATATTGGGTGCCCAGAGCATAACGGGAGATGTAGTCCTTGGACTCTGGACGTCCGGGAAGCCATGTTGGGTGCCCAGAGCATAACGGGAGATGTAGTCCTTGGACTCTGGACTTCCGGGAGGCCATCTTGGGTGCCCAGAGCATACCGGGAAATGAAGTTCTGGGACTCTGGACTTCCGGGAGGCCATGTTGGGTGCCCAGAGCATACCGGGAGATGTAGTTCTAGGACTCTGGACTTCCGGGAGGCCATGTTGGGTGCCCAGAGCATACCGGGAGATGTAGTCCTTGGACTCTGGACTTCCGGGAGGCCATGTTGGGTGCCCAGAGCATACTGGGAGATGTAGTTCTCGACAACTAGGTTTAGGGTTAGGGTTAGGGTTTAGGGTTATTGTTAGGGTTTAGGGTTATTGTTTGTTAGGGTTTAGGGTTATTGTTAGGGTTCCGAACCCGAACCCGAACCGAACCCTATACCCGAACCCGACCCGAACCCGGAACATAACCCTAACCCTAACCCAAACCCAACCAACCCTAAAACCCTAACCCTAACCCAACCCTAACCCAACCCTAACCCTAACCCTAACCCTAACCCTAACCCTAACCCTAACCCTAACCCTAACCCTAACCCAACCCTAACCCTAACCCTAACCCTAACCCTAACCCTAACCCTAACCCTAACCAACCCTAAACCCTAACCCTAACCCTAACCAATAACCCTA